TTCAGGCATGTAAGAACTAATGTTGACTAATAGCCCTTTACATAAAATATAAGCATAGCCAGTTGGATAGATGCGGTAAGCATCTTACCCTGGCTTTTTTTAACAGGGCATGTACACCTGTTCTGTAAAATAAATATTATCAAAAATCAAAATCAAAATCTCTCCTCTCCTCTTTCTCTCTCCTCTCTCTTCTCTCTCTCTCTCTTCTCTCTTCTCCCCTCTCTCTCTCTCCTTCTCCTCTCCCCTCTCTCTCTCTCTCCCTCTCTCCCTCTCCCTCTCTCCCCTCTCCCCCTCTCCCCCTCTCCCTCTGTCCCTCTCCTCCTCTCCCTCTCCCCCCTCTCCTATGTATGCCATTGCCTTTGAATCTGCCTGTATAGATATATTTATCTACACTATCTATCTACCCCCCTGTCTATCGAATTACCTATCATTCTATCTTACAATCTTCTTATCTATTCATCCGCACAAAACCTAACCACTTGCCGCGCGCGCAGCCACCTGGCGGCGAGCGAGTCAACTAAGCGGTCGAAGTTGATCGGGGAACACAAAGCGGTTTTTGCGTTCGTTTTTGCGTTCGTTTCGGCCTCATTTGCAGTCCTCCGCGCGCCGCTTTGGCCCGTGTAATCTGCTCTGTCGGCCGCGCGAAACGACAGTAAGACAGATAGGAGACCAAGGGCGGGGCGAGGACGGAGAGTGCGAGGGATAAGAAAGAGATCTGCAGGTCTTGTGAGACATGCTGCGAGAGGGAGAGAGGGAGAGAGAGGAGAGGGGAGGGAGAGAGAGAGAGAGAGAGAGAGAGAGAGAGAGAGAGAGAGAGAGAGAGGGAGGGAGGAGAGGGGATGGGAGAGAGAGAGAGAGAGAGAGAGAGAGAGAGAGGAACAGACAGACACAGGGAAGGAAAGAGAAAGATAGACAGACACAGTGGGAGGGAAGGGGTGAGAGGGGAAGAGAGAGACAGACAGACAGAGAGACAGAGGCAGAGACCGAGAGAATAAACCCAATATTATGACATTTATTCGTTTCAGGCCATTTTATCAGGCAATATTATTCTCTAATTTTTCATCTCGAACGATTTTTTTTTGCGTTTTTTACGATTTCATCTTTTTTCTTTTTTTATGGCCGAAATTATATATTTTCGCCGCAAAAAAGAGAACACACATAAGCGATACATAAGACACTGATTCCCTCATATTTTTTTAATACAATTTTTTTTTTTTTTTTTTTTTTTTTTTTTTTAGTAATTGGAGTTATTGACCTTCGTGGGAGCGGACGGCGACGTAGCGGTGAGATGTTAGAGAAATATTAATATTATATTTACGGTTATTATTGTTCTTTGATACTAGTTGTTGCATGAGTAAGTACTTTAACTATTATTAACATTAGTAATTGTTCTTCTTCTTCTTGTTATTATTATTATTCATTCTTATCATTATTATTTTTTTTCTGTCATTATTAGTATTTCGGAACTTTATCGTGATATTCATCTTTATATATTATTTTCCCTATATTTATTTTCCCGCCTTGTGCGATTTTACCATAGTCATGCCTCTAAAATTGCTACGACAGAAGATGGTGACGTCATCGCCGACCTTGAAATTTAATTAGAAAATAGAGAACGGAAGGGGAGACTGAAGAAAAAAGGAAGATGGGGAACCGATCGATATTCTACGATGAAAACAAAAGGTTAAAGGTCACTTTGGGTTTTGATCGGATGTTGCTCAGGTAATTGGGTCGTCTTTTTCTCCCTTTTTTCTTATTTCTTTATTCTTATGATTCATTTTTTTCTTCCTTTCCTTCCTTTCCTTTCTAGACATAGACAGAGACAGAGAGAGAAATGAGAGACAGAGAGCAGAAAAGAGAAAAGAAAGGAGAGACAGAAGAGAGGAAAGAAAAGAGAGAGAAAGAGAGACAGACAGACAGGAGAGAGAAGGGAGAAAGAAGAGAGAGAGAGACAGACAGACAGAGAGGAAGAAAAGAGACAGAGAGAGAGAGAGACAGACAGACAGAGAGAAAGAGAAGAGAGGAAGAAAATAGAGAGAGAAAAAGAGACAGACAGACAGAGAGGAAGAAAAGAGAGAGAGAGAGAGAAAGAGAGACAGACAGACAGAGACAGACAGAGAGAAGAGAAAGAGAGACAGACAGACAGAGAGAAAGAGAGACAGACAGACAGAGAGGAAGAAAAGAGAGAGAGAAAGAGAGAGAGAGACAGACAGAGAGGAAGAAAAGAGAAAGAGAGACAAACAGACAAAGAGGAAGAAAAGAGAGAGAGAGAGACAGACAGCCCTGAATCGAGACATGCTTAGCTTAATCTGTGGGAGCTCATGTCGCTCTCCCAGACAGATGGGCGCGATAAAGAGAAGCACTTGTGGCCAAACAGGTTATGATTAGGCTCGGGATGTCTGGGGCCGCGGCGGAGGGAGGGGGAAGGGCGAGGGAAATATGGGAAATGGAGGGGGGAGAAAGGGGGAGAGGAGAGAGGAGGGGAAATATGGGAGGAGGGAGGGAATGGAGGGGAAATAGGAGGGGGGAGAAAGGGGTGAGAGAGAGAGAGAAGGGGAAATATGGAGGGAGGGGGAATGGAGGGGAATATGGAAGGAGGGAGAGAGAAAGAGAGGAGGGGAAATATGGGAGGAGGGAGGGAATGGAGGGGAAATATGGAAGGGGAGAAAGGGAGAAGAGAGAGAGAGAAAAATATGGGAGGAGGGAGGGAATGGAGGGGAAATATGGAAGGAGGGAGGAGAAAGGGAGCGAGGGAGGGAATGGAGGGGAAATATGGAAGGAGGAGGAATGGAGAAGAATATGGAGGGAGGGAGGAATAGAGGAGAAAATGGAGGGAGGGAAAGACAGACAGAAATGGGGTGAGGGAGGGAGTGGAGGGTAATGTGGAGGGAGGGAGGGAATGGGGGAGAATATGGAGGGAGGGAGGGTTTGGAGGGGAAGAGAGACAGGAACGGTGAGAGAGAGTGGGTGGGGAAGAATATGGAGGGAGGGAGAGAGGGGTTGAGAGGGAGGGAATGGAGGAGAAATGTGGAGGGAGGGAGGGTTGGAGGGAAAGCGATACAGGGATAGTGAGAGGGAAGGGGTAGAGGATATGGAGGGAGGGAGAGAGGGGGTTGAGAGGAGAGAAGGAAGAAGAGGAGAGAGAGAGAGAGAGAGAGAAGAAGAGAGAGAGAGAGAGAGAGAGAGAGAGAGAGAGAGAGAGAGAGAGAGAGAGAGAGAGAGAGAGAGAGAGAGAGAGAGAGAGAGAGAGAGGGAGTTAGGGAGAGAGAGAGAGAGAGACAGAGAGAGGGAAGATAATATATATAGAGAGAGAGAGAGTGGGAGAGAGATAGACAGTTAGAGAGAGAGAACTAGACACCGAGTCACGCAGGAATGGAGAGCCACAGACAAACAAGCAGACGGAGACAGACAGACAGCCACAGCCGGACCCCGCCGGCCGGCCGAGAGCGCGTCTCCTGCCGGCGGCGTCCCTGGCCGGGGAACACCCTTCAGGAGCGACTTGCGGCCCGTCCCCCCCCCCCCCTTTCCCCCGAGAGGCAGATTGGCGTGCGATTGGCTAGGCCTCCGCGGGGATTGTCTCGGCGATCGATCCTATCGCGGAGAATTAGCATTATGCAAATGAGATGCGAGAGATAAGGCCAACTTGCACATAACTTTAGGCGTGACACATAAGTTTACGATCTTCATTGGTGACTGCAAGTTCATTTGATATTTACAGCAACTTAAATATGTATTACATTTGTTTTATATGCTTTTTTTTCTTTGTTTTTTTGTCTTGTGTGTGTGTCGTGTGCGTTTGTGCATGCGTGTCTGCATGTGCATTTGTCTCTCGTGTGTATGTGCATGTATGTCTGTATGCGGATTTTTGCATTTTTCTATAAATTCATTCATATTTTTCATAGATATACATACATGTGCATTGTGCCATTTATACGTCATGTTAAAATCAACAGAGATTACTTAAGCAACAAATAAGATAAACTGCATAGAATACGAATAATGATGTTGTCGCGCTTGTGCAGTAATGATGTTGATAATAAGAAGAATGATGAGGATAATAACGATAGTGATAATGACAGTAATGATAATGATTGTGACAATGCCAATGACAATGATGATAATAATGATACGGATAAAGATAATGATAATAAGAATTACGATAAGGATAACAAAGGTGATTATTAGTGATCAAGATTTTAAGACGTTCTGCCCAACCTGTCCGCGTCTGGGGGAGGCTAGATCAGTAGCAACTCGAGGTTTCATGGCGTCCCGTGGGGCTATTTGGATGATTGTTCAATGAAAATATAACCTTTGAAATCATTTTTCATCCGTTTTGAAAATTTAAGAGCAAAATGATCGACCACATTCACAAAGCATCCGTAACTTTTGTGACGTCACCAGAATGTGCCTTTTCCAAAAATAGAAGCAGACGCCACGACATCCGCGAGTTGCTACTGACCGAGCCTTCCCCGCCCGGGCTGCTTCGAACCCGCGAGTCGCTTGGCGCGCTTACTCGCTCGCTCAGCTTCGCTTCCGCTCGCTCGCGTTCAGGTGCTTCGCTGCGGCTCGTGTTGGGTGACAGGTCGTGTTTTGGTTTGTTTTATTTTTATTGTTGTTGTTGGTGGTGGTGTTTATTATTGCTATCATTATGATTATTCTGCGTACCATTTATTTCTTTTGTGTGTGTGTGTTCATGTTCCTTCTTTTCTTTATTGTTTATGTTTTCGATTTTCTCTGTCTCCCTCAAACTTCATTTCTTCATATCTTGTTTCACCTTTTCCTTCCTCCCTCCCTCCCTCTTTCCTTCTCGCCCTCTCTCGCTGCTTCCCTCTATCTATCTGTTTATCTTTCTTTCTCCGTCCATCGAGAGCGGGAACTCGTAATGTCAATCTTCGGCCATTCGGTATAAAAAATTCTCGAAATCATTGCAATGTCATTCGGAAGTTGCAAAAGAAGGAAAAAATACGGTTTGTTACAGTCTTTGCATTTTTTTTTGAGGATATTTTCAAATTATTGTTGGATATTTGTTGGTTTCTCTTCTTATAGGATGTGTAGTAGAGATTAGATGTCCTTTTGGGATTTTAATAAGAATCCGTATTTTGTATTAATGTCTTTCTTCTTGGAAACAAGGTATTTGACCATCTATCTGTATGTCCAACTATCAAGTTAGTCATATATATAGCTACCTCTCTTTTATATATATATATATATATATATATATATATATATATATATAGTGTGTGTGTGTGTGTGTGTGTGTGTGTGTGTGTGTGTGTGTGTGTGTGTGTGTGTGTGTATAAATCGTATTTCTCTCACACACACACACACACACACACACACACACACACACACACACACACACATATATATATATATAATATATATATATATATATATATATATATATATATATATATACATGCAATATAATCTGGCAGACACGGCCAGACCCTTAACGGGCCGCACTTCACAGGCATCTCACTAAAAACGCTCATCTCGATCGGTTTTATTTCGCTATAATTCTTCCTGAAGTATCATCTGGTGTCAGGAGTTTCATTTGAGGGCTGGAAGATGTATTTGTGCAATATTATTGGTCTCGGGTTTGGGGAGAGAGATGGGAGAGGAGAGAGAGAGAGAGAGAGAGAGAGAGAGAGAGAGAGAGAGAGAGAGAGAGAGAGAGAGAGAGAGAGAGGGGGGGAGAGAGAGAGAGAGGGAGAGAGGGGGGGGGAGGAGAAGACACAGAGACAAAGAGAGGGGGGGAGAGAAAGAAAGTGAAAGAGAGAGAGAAGTGAAAGAGGGAGGGAGAGAGAGAATGAGAATGAATTGAAAACAGAGTAAGAAGAGCGAGCCCAGGGCTATTCAGAAGTGAGAGCAGCAATCTTACGTTCTGTCAAGAGGAAGAGGCGGAGACACGAAGCACAGGGACGGATCAAAACAAAGTCAAAACAGCCGACCAGACAGGAGCGCTCCCCCCCTCCCCACTACCCAGTCCCCGCCCCTCCACCAGGTCGAGTCCTTTAATGAACCAACATATCTCTCGTGAACAACTCCCTCGGACATGACGATTCCTTGGACTTAACGAAGGATATAAAGAATTATTCAACAAAACAAACTCTGATACAACAAATTTGGATCTAACGGGCAAACCAGCGTCTATATGGCTTATTGAAGCGAACGAATTCTATAATGAATTCCTTTTGTTCGCAACGACCCAATTGGCCTTTTTTTTTAGCACGACCTCTTTAGACTTTCAGGAACCAGCAGACTCCTCGTGGATTTTTTTTCTTGCTGAACCAAGACAAAACTTTGGGTGATCCCGTTCCATCTCACGAACCAAAGAACCGTCTCGGAAATCATCTTAGAGCCAAACGAGCGATTGTTTTCAGACTGTCTAAAAGAAAATGGCCTAGACTTATAAAAGACTTTGTTTATAAGGAACCGCAGCACGAGGACGAATCCTTAATGTCTAACTAACCAGAGGAAATGTTAAAGACGACGTCGTTCAACATATCGATCCTAAAGACCTTTTTAAACGAATCTTTCGAAACCCTTTTTGGACTCCTTTTAATGACACTTTTCGACATGAGGACCGAAACGACCCTTTGACCTTAACGACCCAACTGAACCGTTTTAGATGGAATTAATCAACAGCCTCTTCTGAACATAACGACCCCAAAGACCCATTAAGAACTACTCTTTAGGACTTGACGAAAGCCCAAAGACCCCCTCAGACGACCCTTCTGCACTCCGGGTTTTGCGTGGGGGGTTGTGACGGGAGGATGACAAGATAAACGATGAGAAAATATAATAGAAACATGATAAAAAGGCGTAATAAGAAGATATGAAGATAATAAACTGTTGGGGTAATGAAATAAAAGAATGGAACAGTTAATAGAAAATAGTTCTAGCCCTTTTATATTATTTTTATTCTACTTTTCTCGACTCCCTTGCAGTCGAAGCAACAGAACCAATAGGATAGTTTGAGTTGCCGGTGCATGCTTTTTGTTTGCTTACATGCCTCTGCTATAGTTGTTTATATTTTTACTTTCGTAAATTAAAAGGAGTCATGAATCCTGAATTAGTGTTGATATATATTTCTTGATCTCTAGATCTGCACATACTTGTTGGATGATCTTTTTGAAGCCATTTTGAAGTTGAATAAAAGGCTTTCCTTTGATATGATTTTTGATAAAGTTCGGCGGCCAGCAAAACTTCTCATATCTCGGCCATTCGCTCCGTCCGGGGCTCGGGAACGACCGAGTCTGTGGGAAAATGCTCCTTGATTATCTGTGGGTCATCTGTCCTGCTTGTCTGCCATCTTTCTCGTCTGTTGGCCTGTTTGTCTGTCTGTATCTGTTAGCCTTGTTGTCTGTCTCCGTCTGTCTATCTGTCAGTCTGTCTCTATATGTCTGTTTTGGAAGGAGAAGGACTGAAGGAAAAAAAACAGGGAATGACCTACCTCAAGTCCTCTCTTGTCATCTCGTAATTGAGTCATGTATGTCATTTGCTCAGAAAGATCCCGAAGGCATGACTTCTTTAATTCTCTCTCTCTCTCTCTCTCTCTCTGTTCTCTCTCTCTCTCTCTCTCTCTCTCTCTCTCTCTCTCTCTCTCTCTCTCTCTCTCTCTCTCTCTCTCTCTCTCTCTCTCTCTCTCTCTCTCTCTCTCTCTCTCTCTCTCTCTCTCTCTCTCTCTCTCTCTCTCTCTCTCTCTCTCTCTCTCTCTCTCTCTCTCTCTCTGGACTATGTTAATTTCCAGAGCTTCAAAAGTAAACAATTTAACGCTGAATTGTACGAACACCAGCATGTCGGTCCGTTCTAGGAGAACAGACGTGGGTTCCTCGCCATGAGTGTGTCGTGTGCATTTTCCTTTCAGGTTATGATAAACACCTTTAGTTATTATCTTTCTTTATCTTGCAATTCTTCCTCCACGTCAAATCACAGATGCCAAGGAGTAAAACAAAATAAAACACGAAACGGCATCCTGGGAACCCAGCCTTTATCTGATTTGAAATCTATGCTAAGAGAAAAAAAGGACGACAAAATAAATAGATAAATAAAACCTGAAGACAATGTATTCTCAACAACTAACCAAACATTTCTCGTTGTCGCGCAGGTGCCTGTCCCCGGAGTCGCCGCGTGAGTCACAGCGAGACGGCGGACGCCAAGGGTCCCCAAGAAGGACCCGGCGAGGAGGCCCTCAGTGTCTGCTCGCGGCGTCGCCTGTGAGCATCGCTGCTTCGGAGGCGAGGGAGCCGCGAGGGAGGCGAGCGAAGGAGGCCACAGGAACAGGATGGACAGGAGCCTCGACGCGTGAATGTTCGGGCGCGTCGGCTGCTAGACACAAGGGCTGCTCGAGCGCGGCCTCCTCCCGACGGCTGCCCGACGGTGACGCTCAGGGGACGCCGGGCCCCGACAAGGTCAAATTGCACCTCGGTCGCACATCCGCGTGCGCACGCGCGGGAGCGCCCTCGAAGGGACAGCGGACAGTCCCGAGGAATGCGCGACCACGCTCGCAGCGCAGAGGAGCGGCGGCCGAGGCGGACGGAGCGCCGGTGATGCAGGCGGCGTGAGCGCAGGCGGACGCGAACGAGTGCTCGAGCGCGCGCAGGGAGAGAGCCTCGCGGCGGAGCCCGGGAGCGCAGCGCAGGAGGGGCAGCGGAGGCGCGCGAAGAAGCCTTACGCCCGCACGAGGAGGCCGCCCTTCACCGCCGGCGGAGCGACGCGGACGGCCGGCGCGAGGGCGTGCGATCCCGCCCGCGGGGGAGGATGGTGCGGCCGGACAGAGCCACCGCCGCCCACGCCCGCGTCTAGTGCAGCAGCGCCACCATGTCCAGCTCGCACTCGTCTGGGTCGTCGAGTGGGCGGCTCTCAGGGGCGTCGCCCCACCCGCCGCCCATGCTCGGCGCCGCCCTGACGCCCAAGAGCCTCCTCAAGCGATGCAAGCTGCCCACTGCGGCCCACCTCCACACGCCCGCCGCGCCCACGGGCCTCGACCTCTCGCGCCCACTCCTGCTCTACCAGAACTACACGTCGACCAAGGTAAGGACACGGCGGGCGGGTCGCGCCCACGCCCACGCTGGCGGCCGAAGGGCCTCGCGACGCCGGTGCCATGGCCACCATCACCTTTGCCATCGTTTTCATTGCCATCGTCTTCATTGCCATCATCACCATTGCCACCACCAACACCTGTGACTCTTCCAGCCTTTCGTATCGACACTTACAAACCAAAACGTAATTGAACAACCGAGATCTTCTTCGGGCGACGAACCGGGACGGGGGCGAACTGCTGTCCCGAGTTCGTTTCGTTGACTCATCATAATGACAAAAAAATATATATATGTATATTGATAGACAAAAAATAAATAGATGTTGAGGTAGGTTAGTTCTGTTTCAAGGACAGGGATATTTCCCTTCAGGATTTCCCATGCGACTGTGGCTCTGGCTGCGAAGGGGATTCAGGGCGCGACGGAGGCTGTCCAGGGCCGTGGTTCGGGCTTCTGAAAGTGTCCAGGCGTTACTCTTGCAAATGGGATAGAGAGATAGAGGGAGGCAGATAGATAGCCAAACAGTGAGAAGAAGAAGAAGATAGAGAGAGAGAGAAATTGAGAATATAACGGACAGGGCCAGAGTGTTCCTCCCTTAAGGATTCAGCTGAACAGCTGACATGCCTGACACAATAGCGGGATGACAAGAGAGGACTTGAGGAGGTCATTCCTCCCCCCTCCCTCCCCCTGCCTCTGCCAAGTTATTTACCCTTTTTTCTATTTATCGCCATCAGTAGAACACCACCATCATTATTGTTATCATCCCCATCAATATGATAATCTTCATCACCATTATCTTCATCATCATCCTCATTATCATAATCATCATTTTCATCACCATGATCATCTTTATTATCATCATCATCATCACCATCGTCATTATCTTAATGATGATGATGCTGATCATTATCATTATTACCATCATGATCATCATAATCATCATCTTCATCACCTCCATCATCCCCAAGCTATTATTCTCATTATTATTCTCGCTCTCCTTGCAGGTCCGCGGCGTGTCCCTCCGCCCGGGTCGCGACGGCGCCCTCGCCCCCGTCGGCCCCGCCATCGTCATCCCCGACTCGTACACAGGTTAGAGAGAGTCTCCTTTTCGCCTGTGATTCTGTCCCTCAGTTTCCTTTTTCTTTCTTTCTTTCTTTTCTTTCTTCTTCTTCTTTTCTTTTCTTTTCTTTTTTCTTTCTTTTTCTTTTCCTTTTTTCTTCTTTTTTTCCTTTTTCTTTCTTTCTATTCTTTTCCTTTTTTTCTTTCTTTCTTTTATTTTCCTTTTTTTTCTTTTCCTTTAATTTTTCTTTTCATTCCTTTTTCTTTTTCCTCTTGGCTCCGACCTTGTCCTCCTTCCCCCGTCTCTCCCTTTTCTCTCGTGGCTTTGCGCGTCTCCGCCTCCTTCCCTTCTCTTCCTCGTCCTCCTTCTGCGGCAATTTGCTCTTTGTGTTTTGTCTTCTTCTCGTCGCCTCTCCCTCCGCGTTTCCTTTGCTATGTCACGCACTTTCTTCCTCTCCCCTTCCTCTCGTACACTTCCGTCTCTCTCTATTCTTCTTACGCCTCCTCTCCCTTTTCCCCTCTCTCTGTTTCCTTCATTCTCTCTACTCTTTCCCCTCTGTCTCCCCTCCCCCCCAATCCTCCCTTCCATCTGTCCGCCACCCACCCCAAACCCCCCACCTTCCACCTCCACCTCCTACACCCTCCCCACTTCCACTACCTCCACCGTTCCACCGCCCCACCCCCTCTCCCTCCCCTCCCCTCCCCGCCCCCCCCCTCTCCCCTCCCCCGCCCCCACCCCCTCTCCCTCCACCCGCCCCCACCCCCTTCCCCACCGCCCCCACCCCTTTCCCCTCCCACCGCCCCCCACCCCTCTTCCCTCCACCGCCCCCACCCCCTCTCTCCCCTCCCACCGCCCCCACGCCTCCCACCCCTCTCCCCTCTCCCCTCTCTCCCCTCCCCACCGCCCCCACCCCTCTCCCCTCCCCCTTCGCCTCCCCCTCTGCCCTCCCTCTCCCCTCCCCCGCCTCCCACCCCTCTCCCATCCCACCCGCCCCCTCCCCTCCCCGCTCCTCTCCCCTCTCCCCTCCCCCACCCCTCTCCCCTCCCCCTCCCCCGCCCCTCCCCCTCTCACCTCCCCCGCGTGGTCTTCGAGGGCCCTTCCCGTAACGGTGTCCTCGCAGGCGGCGGATTAGAGTATGCATCTGAAGCCGTTCTGCCGCCGAGTTTATTGTGGCTGCGACGAGCAGATCGAGTCCGACTTTGTAGATCGGTTTTGGGAGATTAAACCCGACCTTGAATTTTATGTCTGAACGTTGGCCAAGTGAGAGGAGAGAGAGAGAGAGAGAGGAGAGAGAGAGAGAGAGAGAGAGAGAGAGAGAGAGAGAGAGAGAGAGAGAGAGAGAGAGAGAGAAGAGAGAGATTAAAGAAAGAGAGAGAGAGAGAGAGAGAGCGCGAAGCAGAGCCCTCACCTCCCCTCGCGCCCCCAGGCTGGTTCGCCATCGTGACGAGCGAGGGCCACACGGCGCCCTTCTTCTCGTCGGTGGAGCAGGTCGCCACCAGCAAGGTCTCCTTCTTCCTCACCAGATACGACGTGCCCGCCTACACCAACCTCAAGGATGGTGAGTCTCCGCCGTAGATTTTTATATTTTTTCAAAGTTCTTCGCTTGATATTCTACTGCCTTTTGTTTTTGTTGTTGCCTTTTTCGCTTCTTTTCATTTGTTTTGCTGCCATTTACAAATTTTCCAAGAGTATTCAATTACTTTCTTATTCTTTGAATATTATGTAGTCATAACACGTTGCTAAAGACTATTTTCCTTTTTATTATCATCATATCCTCTTATTACAACCATCGGATGTCAGTCTGACTAAGTCCCCCAAATTTGTCTCTTAACACACTTTTCAATCTGTTCGTCTTAACGAGTCTCCTTCGACCACAGAAAGCGGGCGCATGACGTACCAGAAGACGGTGGTCCAGAGCGGCCACGTGCTCAAGCTCTTGGGCATCTTCGAGGACCTCAACGCCCGGAGAACCAACAGCTCAGGCCGAGGGCGCGACGCCGGCCCCGTCTACGTGTGTGATAAATACGCGCAATGTCTCAACTATAGAAACGAGGTAGGCTGAACGGCTTTGTATTGCATCTTGCGTCATTTTCGTTGCTGACTTTTCTCTGTTTTCTCTTTGTATTTTTTTTTTAATTAACCATTTTATGAATGTACTTTCAACCTATTTGGTTAAGTTGGGTTCGTTATGTTAGGTTAGGTTGCGCTTCCTTTCTACCTATTAGGTTAAGTTGGTTAGGTTTCTCTTCTGTATCTAGTTTAATTCCATTTTATGAATGTACTTCATTCTATCTTTTTAGTTAGGTAAGATTAAGCTTTGTTTGCTGCGGTTGATATATAATGATTACCATGTTTCCCTTTTCTGTTTTTTGCGACCGAGCAACTGTGATAAATACGCCCAGTGTATATATTATATATATATATATATATATATATATATATATATATATATATATATATATAGTATATATATGTGTGTATGTGTGTGTGTGTGTGTGTGTGTGTGTGTATGTGCATACACGTCGTGATACTTTCTATTTATTACTTTATATAAATGTTTGCACTTCTTTTCTTAACCAGGTAGTCCTTTTTCGTTAGTAATTAATCAATCTATATTTGTTCGTGTTTGTTCTCCTTGATTTTTACTGCGAATATTTTCCTACTATGCGACCCAGCTGACTTGCCGCCTTTGCAGGTGGTGTTCCTCCCGTTCTCGGCGTCGGGACGCTTCTACACGACGGCGCACAAGACGAGCAAGAACCCCAACCACGTGTACCTGATGGCGCACATCCTCAAGAACCACAAGCTGCCCCTCACCGTCAGGCTCGTGTGCGGATACATGCCCCGCGTCCCCTGCAACTTCACCGGTGAGTCGGGCAGGAGGCTTTGCGCGTGTGCTGGGAATCCATTGTTGTTGCTTTTGTGGTGTGGGATGGAGAGAGGCAGTCTTCTCTGTGGTTACTGAAATGTCGTCTTTAGCTTCAGTTTTTTGCTTGGTATTTATTTCTACATCTCTCAGTATATATCACATGAAGATGATTTGTTCATAATACTAATATATGGGTCTCAACTACAGCTCAACTGACAGATAACGGATATGCGATTTTCTACCATCTGTTAGATAACAGATTACGTTTTGTAATGAACGATAGTTCAGTAATACCATAATTTTTACATTTTTTCACTTATGATGCTGCTAATGCTGTTACAAATTTGGTTCAGCTTCAAATGCACTACAAAATATGGCGATTTAGTCTTGTCGTATCTTTCTCGTGCCAAGTCATGAAGGATTTGTGTTTGTGAAAGTGTTAATGGGTCGTGTCCTTCTTCAGGAGTGCTGCGACTGGAGGAGGCGGAGAAGGAGGCCGTCATCCTCGCGTGCACGATGACCAACGAGGCTCGAGCGACCCTGTTCGAGATCGACGTGGCGTCCAACTTCGTCCTGACGCCCGTGAAGGACCCGCTGTTCCCCAAGTCGCCCATCTTCCTCAAGACCGTCTCGTACTGCGAGGACGAGGCTGAGCCCTGGCGGCGGCAGATCAAGGTCTGGCTCTGCCTTCATTTATGTCGAAGGGATTTAGGAGTAATTGAATATTTGGACGATACATTTGAATCGTGTTTCCAATCCTCATGACAGATTTTGAAATATTTTTCCCGATTTTTATATGGCATAATTCATCTAACCTTTTGGTTTGCCCTCAGGTCACGCATCATGTGACCGAGAAGAGGTCGCGGTCCCTCAGCCGCTCGCTGAGCGACAAGTTCGTGGAGCAGCCGCGTCCGGCCGGCTTCGCCTTCCTGGCCGATGTCGAGAAGAGGAAGAACCGCGGCCGAGAGAAGTCGCGGGACCGCCTGGCCGTCCGCCTCGGCGAGCGGGCGCGAGACAAGAGCCGGGACAACATCCTGAGGAGCCGCAGCAAGGAGACGCTGCTCGACCACAGCCCCAGCAAGATCAACTGCAAGGGCCAAGACCAGAGGAAGCTGTCCAAGCAGAACACGTACATCTTCCAGAACGGACGCAGCCCGCGGACGCAGCAGAAGAAGCAGGAGGCCGACGCCGTCCGCAGACTCAACCGATCTATCGAGAACCTGGACTACTCGAGGGTCGCGGACGACATCAGCCCTGTGCACGAGGCGGAGGAGGGCGAGGACGAGGAGGCGCACTACACCGAGATCTGCGAGTACATCCTCAACAGGAAGTCCCCGCTGAAGAACGAGAGGCCGGGGCGCCAGCGGTCCGCCGACAAAGAGAACGGGACTCGCAGGGCAGCAGGACGCGCCCCGGAGAACAACCTCAGCTTCACTCTTCTCAAGAAGGACATCGGAGGATACTACGTCAAGATCCCGGGCTTCGAGGTGCCCAAGGAGGAGCTGGACCAAGGGCTCTCGCCGGACCCCAGCAAAGGAGGCGACTCGCTGTGCTGATCACCGAAGAAGCCGACGCTTCTGTGCGGGACAGCGGGCTTGCGACCGGGAATTCTGTGCTGAGCCATGGAGCATGAGCGGTGTGTGCTATGAACATAGATGAAAAGTGGCAATGAAATGGAAAAAAAAAAAAAACATTCAGAGACATTGAGTAATATGACTCGAAAAGTGGTGAATAATGTACATATTATATATATATATATATATATATATATATATATATATATATATATATATATATATATATATATATATATATGTGCAAGATTCCTCAATGACTAGAACTTTCGAGTGTGAAAACAAAAAGTTTCCCTCCCATGGTGCTCACAACACTAGGTCTAGCTTCAACGTCCTGGACAGATAACCCTGTGGTCGTCGAAATATATCACGGCTGTCGGAGGGTCGTTCCTTTCGTCCCTTATTTGGTACAACAGCTGAAAGTATTACTGTATTTCTATAAAGGCATCAAGACATGGAAGAGTGGCGTGCTTTGTGTGTGAAATGTGGAAGGAAATCCGACTGATACAAGTATTTTTCTTCCTTTTTTCCATTAAAAAGAATCATGAAACATTTCGAAAACTGTATGATTGCGAAATTCGTCTAGTCACTGGTATTGTTTTTGTTAACCTTTTTTGTTATTTCTGGCTTAAATTTTCTGGAAAATATCTAGCAAAATATATTCTCATAAATTGAAGTTACTGAAAAAATAGAATAGTACCTACCGTCAATCAGATGGTAACCAGGATAAATCACATGCAAAACGAAGAAGCATTTACAGTATTGTGTAAGGTACTTTTATGTTAGATTTGTATGATAATCAGGAGTTTTATTGGCATCGCAAGCTGATATACAGAAAATATTTATATTTTTTCTTATTGTGAATGCCAACTGACTGAGGATGACCTGCCAGTGTTTACATTGAGAGACGCGTTTTGCAGCTTATTCCTTATCTTGTGTGTGTATGAAAGGTAAGGTGAAAGTCCAATGTTTTTAATAACACGACGCTGTTATACAGCTTGTATGGATGTCCAGTATAATTCTTGGGCTGTATAACTGACTGATAACTTTCTGTACAGTATTACTCATATATAATGAAGAACGTGTATTTTGTGTACTTTTATATACATAATGACTGTCACATAATGTAGGATTCCAGTCGTGTACAGCAATATGCCTATTGTGTATTTTTCAATAATAGACGTGAATTAATTTACTTTTCTTTAAAAGTTGATTTGATAAATCAAACAAATTTGGAGGACATCAAGTTCAAACAAAATTTCACAGGAAGATTGTCTGAAACCCAGTGTTAATTCTGTTAAAAAATGGTATTATAACCATATTATAAAATTGATACATATCAGTGTTTAAATTAAATATTAAGAATATCACTTTCTCTTTTGTTCCTATCCATTATATGTTTCGTGGAATGAACAACTGACAAAAAACACACATAAATTGAAATACATATTTTATTTCGTCATATGTGAATACAACACGAAATATCCGACAGTATAAAAACGTGACAGCAGACCATCAAAATATAGAAGATGGGCTACAGAGACATTTACACAAGAATTCCTATACAGGGGATGATGTTTCCTGGTGCGAAGGCTCGACCTCGCTCCTGACCTTTCGAACATTCCTTCAGAACCACTTTTTCTCCTTCTCTGGTCCCAATCGACGCAACACCTCATTTGATTATATGATGATGTTCATCCCTCGTTCAGTGGGTGCAGTGCGACACGTTGGTCCTTTACTTAGTCTATTTACCATTTTTAGAGGTTTCATTAGATTTATTGACAAAACTTATATTGATTGATATGATTGTGCAGTGCAATTGTTTGAGGGTGATGTGGATTTCCTAATTTTATAGTACAAGAATATGCGATCTGTATAAAAAAGTAAAAAGAAAAAAATCACATTTTCATACGCTTAGTTAGAATAAATATTTTCGTTTATGGATATTCACTATAATAAAAAAAAAATGTAAAAGCCCTTTTAGCTCGAACCAGTTATATCACCAGATTACACTCATACAGAAGAATGGTCTGAACAAATTACAGATATTGCGGCGAAAAAGACAGCAAATCATAAACAGTGGGTGTTCGCCCGAACACCAAGGCGCATTCTGATTGGCCGCGAGAAAATCACAATTTCGAGCGCTGATTGGCTGTGCACACTCGCTTCTCGATGCTGATTGGCTGCCTCGGAATGATAATTTCCCATCTAATTGTCCAAACTCGAGACAAGTTTTTGTCAGTGTTGTACCCAGGAGCAACAGGCGACGTGCCTGTATTGTCCAGCACGTGTCTGCAGCGATTGTCAGTGGGCGGGACAGTTCGTGGGGTCATTGTCGGCGATCTGACTAGAGATTCAGGACGGGACGGAGAGCATCACGTTGGCTCTTTTTCTAATCTACATTTGCTTCTCGTTCATCTTTGTATTATTGTTGAAATGATTCCATAGTTTATGGTTTGTTTTTCTTTTCATTATATGTCTTTTGTTGTTCAATGTCTAAACCTCATGGGTCACTACATTGCACTGTTGTTTATGAAATTATAAATTAACCTTCTTGTACATCTACTGTAAACACTAAGTCCGTGTTTTGTTTCATCACACAATCGAGCGCATTTCATTTCCATTCATTTCATTCATTAAAGCGAATTCGCTGCTTCGGTCGACGATTCGAACACAGTGTACAGATCCCGCAGTGCGAACTACGCAAGTATCAGTAAAACCGTTTCCAAAACACTTGTTTCTTGTTTCTTGCTTCATTGCATCAATGTTTATCCAACTGAACAACAGTATTTCACGCATCCTTCTTCCCTAAAAATAGGATGTAGGAATCATCATCTGTTCTTTCTTACTCATCTAAGATTTCATCACAGAAGTTACTGGTCTTTTTGTTCCATGTTTACTGTCTTTTGGGGATATAGTTTGCCTTTTTTCCATAAATAAGTAGCGTGGAAGTGCACTTACTGGAAAAGAGGCTTATATATCTTTGCACCTTGTTCTGTTCCTTCTGACATTGAACGGTAATATACTTTATCAAATCCGTATTGCCACATACGCACGCACGCACGCACAGCACACACACACACACACACACACACACACACACACACACACACACACACACACACACACACACACACACACACACACACACACACACACACACACACACACTGTATGTATATAGGTAGGTATGTGTACATGCATACATTTTAAAGCACTTGAATATACTGCAACATCCACCACATACAATTCGATACATGACGTAAAACTTGACGCAGAAGGTTCAAGAGCAGGTTTAGTGTCACAGAGAGATTCGTCCTTTTCCCGGAGCACTAATGTTCGTCACAGCCACGCGTGTGTGCAATCTAGGGCGCCTAGATCGCACCACACGACAGGAAACAATTATAAAGACAGGTAAATGTCTAGACTTTTTTTTCCAGGAACAGAGAGTATTGCTTACATGCCACGGATAATTATGTACACAAACACATAGGCTAGTTCGTATATGTGAAACTGAGACACAGAAATGTAAGACGGAATTTTCAACTCATTGGCCGGTTGGAAGGTCAACTTGAAGTCTGCGGATATAAAACGCCACAAATCAAAACATGACGCCAATAACAGCAACTAATCCTCAGTTTCCAAAGGGCGCACGTCACTTCTTAAAGGACTTTCAGACCTTCCGAGCACACAGCATGCGCGTCCTTGTTTGAGCACAGGGAGTCGGCAGGAGGCGGGGACGCCTCAGCACATGGAGTCGTATCCGTTCACTTCGTCGCCGAGGACCGTCTTCCCGATCTCCTCCTGCGGGACCTCGAAGCCCTTCAGCTTCATGTAGTATCCTCCTTTGCTGTTTCTGGAGATGGTCGAGAGCTTGTCGTCCTCCTGGTCCTTCACGACCACGCGGATGATGTACACCTCGTTGGCCTTGTCCTTCTCGAGCCTGTCGCGGCCGCCCTTGACCGAGCCCGTCTCGCCGCGGCTGCCGTCGGCGGCGCTGACGTGGATGCTGGAGACGCCGCTCTCGCTCGGCGGGATGTTCTCCTTGTAGTCGCCGCTCGCGCTCGAGAACTTCCTGCTCCTAGACTCCCTGTCGCTGAACGTCGCGCTCAGCCTGCCCGAGGCGTCACTCGGGACGTGGTTCTCCTCCTCGAGCGTGAAGCTGAGGTTGGGGAGGCTGAGCGGAGGATGGCCTCTGGCGAAGGCCTGCCTGCGGCCCCGCTGCCCGTAGTCGCAGATCTCGGCGTAGTGGCTCTCGGAGACGTCCTCCTCCGTCTCGGGGATGGGGCTGATGTCGTCGGCCACGCGAGAGTACTCCAGGTTCTCCACCGACCTGTTGCTGTTGATGCTGTTGTTGATGCTGCTGCTCTTGTAGCCGCCGAGTCGCTCTCGCCCGCCGCTCGGGTGCTTGGACCCGCCGCGCCCGTTCTGCAGCACGTACGTGTTCTGCTTGGAGATCTTGCGGTGGTCCGAGCTCTTCTTCTTGGCCTCCAGACTGTGCTCGGCGATCGGGAAGCCGCTGAAGCTGTTGCTGTAGTCGTGGTACTTGAACTTGGTCTTCTCGACGCTCTTCTCGCGGCTGCGGAACTCCCGGAACCGCTGCTCTCGGCTCTTGTCGCGGCCGGGCTCGCTCTGCCGGCTGTCCCGCGACCGGTCGCGGCTGCGGCCCTTCTTCTTGTCGTTGTCCACCGACAGGAACGACAGGCTCAGCGGCCGCACGCTGGCCATCGGCTCCACGAATTTGTCACTCAGTGATCGGGTCAATGACCTTGACCTCTTCTCGGTCACATGGTGAGTCACCTGCGGACGAAGACATTCATGCATTAAATTACAGCTGTTTATCATATGACCCCAGATTATGAGCAGACAATAAGGCAAACTAAAACCAAGCAAAAACCAGCCATCGCTTTCGAAACGTCTGCCGCTGAGCGAAAGCAGCAACCGTTCTCGCGCCCACCTTGATCTGCCGCCGCCAGGGCTCAGCCTCGTCCTCGCAGTAGGAGACGGTCTTGAGGAAGATGGGCGACTTGGGGAACAGCGGGTCCTTCACGGGCGTCAGGACGAAGTTGGACGCCACGTCGATCTCGAACAGGGTCGCCTGAGCCTCGTCGGTCATCGTGCACGCCAGAATCACCGCCTCCTTCTGCGCCTGCTCCAGACGCAGCACTCCTGAGGAAGAGAATGTTCTCAGTCAGCACAAATCATTAAGAAAAGAAACTGTATCATCTCTTTTTTCTGGACGCGAAAATCCCATCTAATTCAGCTCGCCGACCAAAAGGTCTCGGGGACCCACCGGTGAAGTTGCAGGGGACGCGGGGCATGTATCCGCACACGAGCCTGACGGTGAGGGGCAGCTTGTGGTTCTTGAGGATGTGCGCCATCAGGTACACGTGGTTGGGGTTCTTGCTCGTCTTGTGCGCCGTCGTGTAGAAGCGTCCCGACGCCGAGAACGGGAGGAACACCACCTGCAAGGGCGGCAAGTCAGCTGGGTCGCATAGTAGGAAAATATTCGAAGTAAAAATCAAGGAGAACAAACACGAACAAATATAGACTGATTAATTACTAACGAAAAAGGACTACCTGCTTAAGAAAGAAGTGCAAACATACTTATAAAGTAATAAATAGCAAGTATCACGACGATATATATATATATATATTATAATATATATATATATATATATATATATATATATATATATATTCAAAACAGGGCAGACCTAAAGCCCCCGACGCCCACCTCATTCCTATAGTTGAGACACTGGGCGTATTTATCACAGTTGAAGACGCTGGAGGCGTCGCGCCCGCGCCCCGTGCTGTTGGTCCTGCGGGCGTTGAGGTCCTCGAAGATGCCCATCAGCTTGAGCACATGCCCGCTCTGCACCACCGTCTTCTGGTACGTCATGCGACCCTCGGCTGTTTCAAAGGGGAGAAGACCGTGTTTTTATTTTAGTTTGCCTGTTCATTCATTTTGTATTTTTGTCAGTTAGCAGATTCTGCACAATTCAGATCAGAACGATGGCAAAAAAACGTGCATCCATGACACCCGGACAAAGGCATGCTTTTCAAGGGTCTCTCGAACAGGAGTTGAGACACAGGAGAAAACATTCAAAGAAGATCCCAAGACCTTCAAAACGCGACAAAGGGTCTCACCATCCTTGAGGTTGGTGTAGGCGGGCACGTCGTATCTGGTGAGGAAGAAGGAGACCTTGCTGGTGGCGACCTGCTCCACCGACGAGAAGAAGGGCGCCGTGTGGCCCTCGCTCGTCACGATGGCGAACCAGCCTGGGGGCGCGAGGGAGGTGAGGGCTCTGCTTCGGCTCGCTCTCTCTCGGTCTCTCTTCTCTCTCTCTCTCTCTCTCTCTCTCTCTCTCTCTCTCTCTCTCTCTCTCTCTCTCTCCTCTCTTCTCTCTCTCTCTCTCTCTCTCTCTCTCTCTCTATCTCTCTCTCTCTCTCCTATCGCACTAAAATCTAAATAGTAAACCTGCCATGAAATTCTAACTCTCGAGATGCATGTTTACAGTTGCAGTGAATAAACTCCAGACGAGGCTTATCTTGGCCTGAAATCTACTCGCGGATTTCGTCGAAGAAAGCAATGTATGAAGACGAAGGACAGGGGGAGGGGGGGGGGGAGAGAGGAGGAGCATGTTGGTGATAAGGAGGAGGAGGAGAAGCGGGAGGAGGACGACGAATAATATGCCTAATTGGAGGAGGGACTGAAGAAGAGATTAAAAGACAAGAAGGAGAGGAGGAGAAGAAGAAATAAAAAAGGCAAAGAAGATGGAAGAGGAGAAGGAGGAGAGGAAGAAGGAAAAAAAGACAAAGAAGAATGAGGAGGAGGCTGTGGTAAAACGAAGTAGGAAGACGAGGCCTAAGAATAAAAAATATGTCTAACAGAGAAGAAAAAGGGACAGGACGCAGGACGAAAAGGGGATAACGCGAAGAGCAAAAGCGACCGAGCAAAGAGCGCCGACTGACCCTTGTACGATGTGAGTTTCGGGAGGAGGGAATGGTGGAGTTTCCTTTCTCTCTCCACTTTGGCTCTTCTGGCCTGGCCGTGTGGGGGCGGCGGGGGCGTGCTTCGTATCTTGAGGGCTTCGGGCAACCGCGAGTGATCTCGCGGCGCCACCTACTTCCGACTTGCGTGTCGAACAGCTTCCCCACCGCCTGTAGGGTTTGCTCGCTTTTCCGTGGGCGTGTTTCCGCCGCCCGCGCCCTTTTGTCCTGTCGTGTCGTCTCGGCTCGTGCCGTTGTCGGGGCTGTGTGGTGGGTGGGTTGGGGGGTTGGCGGCGGGTGCACGGTAGGGGGCGGGGGGGTGGTGGGGGAGTCGGGACGGGTGGGCTGGGGTGGGGCCTTCGGGACCGGGGTTGCGGGGCGGGTTGGC